CAAGACAATGTTTAAGAATTAGACCAAGATGGATGAGGAGAATCTGTCCTACGCACTATTGTAACAATCCAGCGTTTTAACAGTTAATATGAGGTAGAACTCACACAAGGACATCGGGGTTCATGAATCAGGACGGAACAAGGAGAAACTGATGCGCATCTGACATCTGTCACTTTAACGTGACGGAGTAGCATGGTCAGCCTCTGTGCCAAGGGTGGCCTTCCCAGGAACTGACGCTGGAATAATCAATTATCCTTGCAGGGAAACAAATTATATCTCTGCTGAGAGAGAAAAATAAAATTCCGCTGAAAGAAAAATAGGAAATGAGAAAGATGGCTGACCTTTATATAGGATAGATCATTTTCCTTAACTTCTTTTTTTAAAATTCAGACACCATGATTTACCATACTGTTTAATGATTTTGGACACAGTGACACTGGACCACACCTGCCACCAGAGAATATATGGAAAATGTCTTAACTGTGCCCCTGTCTGACACCCACAAATCCAACAAGGTCAGACTGATGGAGTTGACTTCATTAAAATAAAAACCACAGAGTACTGGGAGTACCAAGGTAAGACTATAACTCAGCCTGCCCCCTAGGAATCCCGGCAGCCGCCATCTTCCAGAACCCAATGAGAAGCCCTGGTACATGGAAACAGTAACAGCAAATATCAGGCCTCATGGGATGAAGAGGGGGAAGGAGACGGTCCCTCTTGTCCCCCCTCCCCGATGGGACCCTGATATGATGTTCAACTGCTTCTGGCTTCTAGTTAAGCTCCTTAAATAGTAGTAAGTTACTATTTAAGCTCCTTAAATAATAGTAAGATCCAGAGACACACAAAAGAATCTCAGGACCGAGCAGCTCACTGCAGAGATCTCTCCAGACCCTAGAGCAGCCGCATGACATCATATGCTATTCAAAACAAGCAATACAAAATAAACTGTCTAGCATTGCCTTTCCAGCAGGTTTGAGTGGTGGCGGGAAAATTCCAAATAATAACGGTGGGGCTGGTATCGAAATATTGAATGTAATCAAAGTAGAGAGAGTATTGTGGAAACTGTCTGCCACACAGCCAGGGAAAGGGTTGGGATGGGGGGTGGGGGGATACTGGGGACTTTGGTGGTGGAAAGTGTGCACTGGTGAAGGGATGGGTGTTTGATCATTGTATGAACGAAACTCAACATGAAAGCTTTGTAACTGCATCTCACGATGATTCAATTAAAAAAATTGAATTCAAATATTTATAGTACATATTATATAATACATATACCCATCTAAAGGTTAGCATTCAAAACATATAAAGAATTTTTTTAAAACCTAATAACCCCCCCATAAAAAAAAAGACAATCAATAATAAAAGATTATTCCAGCATCAATTCTAGGAAGGCCACCCTGAGTCCAGAGGCTGACCATGCTATTCTGTCACATTAAAGTGATGTCAGGTACACATCAGTTTCTCGTTCTGTCCAGCTTCATTAACCCCAATGTCCTTATATGAGTTCTACCTCATGTTAACTGTTAAAATGCTAGATTGTTACAGTGATGGGTGGGGAAAATTCTCCTTATCCATCTTGGTCTAATTCTTAAATCAGGGCCAGATAGGACAGCACACAGCCAACTAGGATTCAGTTCAATCCCTGGCATCCTGCAATCCCTGAATGCAAAGCCAGGAGTAACCCCTGAACATCACCAGGTGTGGCCTGAAATCAAACAGAAAAGAGAATCCACTTAAAATATGGGCAAAGAAATATACCCCCCCCCAAAGAAATCTAAATTGCCAACAAGTATACAAAAAGATACTTGATTAGTATTAGTAATCAAAGAAATACAAATTAAAATCACAATTGCATACCTTTATCACACCAAATCAATCTGACAAAAAAATTTAAGCCGAACAATAGAGTGTAGCTGATACTATAGAATAAAGAGAACACTTATTCATTTCTGGCAATGTCTCATAAAATAGGAGATGCACATATCCCAAAAGCTAGCAATCCTATTCCTCCTAAGAGAATTCCCTAGAAGGGCAGCTTCAAATATTTTTGATGATCACACTCACAGTTTACACTGGGACCCAGGGCACGTATCCTTTCAACTGAAATCTTCAACACAGTTCACACTGGGACCCAGTGCACGTATCCTTTCAACTGAAATCTTCAAAAAACAAGCACCTATTCTTAGGATGTGGGATACATTCTGATTATTTCCATTCTATCTTCACTTTCAAATGCTGGGGTGTCTCACTCAATTGCTTTTACAACCACTAGTAGAAAAAACAACCCAAGGTAAAAAAAATTCTGGCCATAAAAATATTCCAATGCATGCTTTTCTTGTGCAAAGGTGGGAAATGTACATTTGGCACTTTGGTGAAAAATGCATGACAATATAAAAATCAGCCAGTAGAAGAATAAGTAAAAATTAAGGGCACAGACACACAGTGGAAAACGATTTAGCAGAGCCATTACAGAACTAGAACTGAAGAATTCACATAGATGAATCTCAAGAACTAAAAAAGAGGCAGCAAAACACACAAGCTGCAGAAAATCATGTACGGTATTTATCACTTGCATAGACGTCTCAAAAGTGAAAAAATGCTATCATGTTTTATCGAGAGATACAGTCACAAACAGAGAATAAAGATATGCACGGATCACTCCGGATGGGAACTGTATGCTAAAAGCAGATAAACAAACACACATGAAAACTCTCAGTATCTTTATTGAGAACCATAAGAACCATAACGCCCAAAAGTGGAAGGGGGGAAGAGAGAGAGAGAGACAGAAAGAAAGACAGACAGACAGAGAAGAGAGACACAGACAGAGACAGAGAGAGATCTGCCATATAGGCAGACTGGGTTGAAGTGTGCTAAAAGGAAAACTGGGGACATTGGTGGTGGGAAACGTACACTAGTGGAGGAACGGGTGTTAGAACACTGTATAACTGAAAACTGATCACAAACAGCTTTGCAACTGTGTATCTCATAATGATTCAATTAAAAAAAAAAGATACCCAGGGGGAGAAAGGAGAAAGACCAATGAAAGTACAACAAATGAAGGTGAACAGATAGGAACTGGCCTGGCCCTGGTGCAAGGTCCCATGTGACACAGTTCCCCCCAAGCACCACCAGGTGTGGCCCCAGTGAGCGCCAGCATAGCAGGGCCTGAGCAGCACTAATCCACAAGCCTGGCATACAACCACCCAGTTCCACTGGCCAAGAGTCCCTGGGAAGGGCCCCAAGGCCACCCGAGCACTGCTTGGGAGGTCAAGAACAGAATAAATTTTTTTTTTTAACAGAGCCAAAGAAAAAAAAATGGAATGGGGAAAACGCTGAGAACGTGACACACTAAATAGTCCAAACTTGCCATCTTCAAAATTAAACTAAATTGCCACCCCGGGGAAGCAGCTTCTCTCCAGGCACACAGCGGGTCCGGCAGAGCCTAACGCAGCCGACCGGAGCTCAGTCGTCAGGCTCACAGCTCACAGCTCTCAGCACGGTTCTGTTTGGTATTCAAGAACACTGACGGTCTATTTTTAACCCGGTAATGAAATGCAGAGCATGGTCCCCAAACGCAACAGGTAGCTGTGGGCGGACGCGATGTCAAAGCAGATGCCCCAAACAGAGCCAAGTGCCAGCGAGGTTGAGTCACGGGGAGATGCAGAAAAATGATGACGGCGCAGGTGCCACAGGTTGCCAGCAGCCCTCCCCGCTCTAGAACGGTGCGAGGCATCATCCCGGAGTGCTGAACCCCCAGACGGCTTCAAGACTAGAAAACTCACCAAGAATGACAACATGCGGCATCTTACAAACAGCACATGTTTGTGACCAAATTAACATGGAGCAGAAAGCTAATAGGCACACCGTGGGCACGAGAGAAAAAATTAAAAAAAAAATCCCTGAAAGCGATGCCTGGGTCCCTGCAGATCTCAATATGCACCCTCCCACAAGAGCAAACTCAAGACGACGACTGATTTTACTTTTTTTTTTAAGTGTCAATTCATCTGTCACAGAGCATACCCTCAACTGTATAGACAAATCCAACAGAATCACGAACAGAATTTAATCAATAAGCTAGCTGATCGATAAGCACACTTCCAAGAAGCAAGTCCCAACCCCTGCAATCCGTAACTAAGCAACTTCTCCAGGAAAACATCTCATTCATTCACTCAACCCCTTCCGACTCTTCTGATATGTGTTAGGGACCACAGCAGACTCGAAGGAGTGACATTTTCCAAAATAACTAGCCAGTAAAGTGTCAAAATCATGAAAGACAAAGAAAGACAGGAACTATCCCCAGTTAGGAAGACTTAAAGTCACGACAACTGAATTTAATTTGCATTCAAGATTGGATCCTGGACTCAAAAAAAAAAAAAAATAGGATATTTGTGGAAAATCTAGCAAAACTCAAAAATAAGGTTTTACAGGACAATTGACAGTACTGTAGCAACTCAAATTTTCTGTAGCACTTTGGGAACTGTGTCTGTCATTCTAAATTTATTTCAAAATAAAAAGCTGGGTTATTTTAATGGAACATTTCGAGGTGTGAGATCTAACCATTTCAACCCCATTGTGACAAATGACTCATTCTGGCAAGCCAGTATAATTTTCCTCTTTGGAGAGTTTATCATCAAATGATGTCAGAATCAGAACTTTCTGAGGTTCCAACTCTCATAGTGCATGCTGAATATCAAGGGACAAGACAAGAAAAGAAATCAACGAAGGCAAAACACACTTGCTGAAAACCCCAAGACACGCTGTTAAAGAGATTTCCAAAAGACATGAACATCCCATGCACAGAGCCAAGAATGGCACCCGGCGTAAAGGAGACAGCTCGAGGCATGGAACACCGAGACGTGGACAGAACCAACTCAGCCAACAATGCGTGGTAAGATCATGAGCAATTTTGGTGGTGCTGGGCTTTGCGGAGCAGGAGAGAAAGGTAAAAAAAACCGCGCCGGGCTCGAGGCGCACTCACACAATTCGTTCCGGTTACATACCCAGATTTCAAGTCGGTTATCCTCAAGCAGTTGGTGGCATCCAGTCCCACTTTTCCATTACGGACCACACTGGATATGAATGGGGAGAGCATCGGGGAAATCCGGGTCAAGGCCACTTCTGGGGACATGATCGACTTCAAGGCCAGCACCACTGGAAAGAGAAGGGCAGAGCGGTGAGGGGCGCCCACGCACAGGGGTAGAGGCCAGCAAGCCTCCGGGAAGCTGTCAGGGCACCCACGCAAGTTTCTCCTGCAGGACCTTGTTTCCTGCTGTCTGGGGGGGGAGGGGAACAGCCCCCAGATGCTTAGACTGCTGCAAAGACAAAAGCACCACTTTTTTATTGAATCACTGTGGGACAGACCCTTACATCACTGGTCATGATTGAGTTCAGTCCTCCAGTGTCCCAACACCCAGCCCTCCACAGTGTACATTTCCCAGCACAAGTGTCCCCAGGTTCCCTCCCATCACCCTCCACCCGCCTCTGTGGTACACGGTTTTCCTCCCTCCCTCCCTCCCGCTCTTTGTGTCTCTCTGTCTCTGTCTGTCTGTCTCTCTCTCTCCCCCCCTCCACCCCCATTAAGGCATTGCAGTTTGCAATACTGACACAGAAAGGTTATCAAGAACATCCCTTCACCTACTTTTAACCCTCAGATAAAGCACCACTTTTCACATATGGAGGCAATCACTGAAATCCAATTCCCTCCTTTCCAAAGCTGCCTTCCACACTGGCATGCTATTAAGCCTCTCCCTCCCTGACTGTCTTACAACTTATTTTAAAATGTTATTGGGGGTGGGAGGGAGCAAACCTGGCAGTGCTCACGGCTTGCTCCTGGCTCTGTGCTCAAGGGTCACTCCTGGCGGGCTCAGCGGGCCACATGGGGCCGGGGTACAGCAGGGTGCTTGTTTTGCAAGGCAACACCCAGCAGAGCTCAAGAGGCCTAAAGTGGCGTGTGGGGATTCGAACCGGGACGCAGCCACCTGCAAGGCAAGTGCCTTAGCTCCTGTACTAGGTCTCCGACCAACAAGGAACTTCAGTAGTTGAGGCCCTACTGACCACTGTCTCCACTCAACATGCAAAAGTTATTAACTGCCAGGATAGAAATCCCTCCCTCTGTGTCCCCACAGGGGCAAGAATCCGAGTCAAAATATCTAATATTCCAGAATAAACATAATCCGCTTGAATTGTCACTTCAGATAGATCTTTCCTAGCTGCCCCTCCACCAAGGCATATGAACTACCTGCTCTGTGATCTCTCCCCTGCCAGGACCATGTGTTGAACCCCTGTAAGTATTTAACAAAAGGACCTGGCAAACACTAAACACCCACTACAATAGTGCTTAAAAAAAAAAAAAAGATGCAAACTTAAGAAATATTTAGTGCACATGAAGAGAAGATAATTTCCCCCACCCCCCAAAAAAACGTGGTAGAAGATAATCTATCTGAGGAACAGATATAGCAAAAATCCATGTAATTAAATCATAGAAGTCTACACTTGTGCACCCAGTTATTAAGCACCGCAAACTAGGATGGATCTGAAAGTCTTTTACTTTAAGGCACTGAGAAGTTCTGACAACTGAAAATACAAAAGCACAACCAATAAATCATATCTAAATGACTTGGAAACCCCTGGGGTTGCGGGAGGGAGTACGTGAATTCCTCACAACAAGTTTCTAAGCGAAAGCTTCAACTTCCAAAGGTGAATAAGTCAACTGAGATGATCATTTTTTTCCTCAGCTGAAAGGATAATCCCACATCAAAAGCAAAATTGACTTTCTGCAAGTTAAAATTACAAGGAAATGAAGCCCTGGATCTAGTTTTCATGTATGATGCCATGTGAGACTTACGTGTCCCCTCAAAAAATAAATAAATAAAAAATTTTTTAAAATTTGAAAAAATGAAAACGGGTGCCCGTTTCTATCATTTCAGAGAGTGAATAAGGGAAGGGCTGCAGTGGTCTTTAAAAATAATAATAACCTCATGACCCGATGTAGTGGTGACACAGAACACCTCTGAGGCAGAGCAAACCTACACTCTAGTCCCCAAATCATCTGCAAGTAGGAAACACGGTTTGCTTCTTAACAGACGCCCACCCGCTCTGTGGCACTCCAACGTGATCAAAAAGAGTAAACATCAAACGCAAGGCTTTTATCCATCATCAAAATCACATACCTTCCTCGAACACTGCCTCTATACACAGCCTCCATATACGTTACTGAGGCAGATCTTCATAACCCAGAGCAGAGGGGCCGGTAGGAGAATTCACAATTAACAGATGACATGGATAACTTTCCTAATCTGTCTTTAAACAGTTTTCTAAGACTGTATCATTTTGAAGTTTGGTTTTTTTTTCCTAATACACTCACATTCCAACTTTTGGGGGGGAGGTTCACACTCAGGTGCTTGGAGAGGGAAGTGGAGTCCACACTAGGAACACACAGAAGAGAGTTCCAGCTTACAGAGCATGTACCCAAGCCCGTGTGCTATCTCCTTGCTCTTCCCTACTGATGTCACTGCTAGTGAAAGGCTGTTTAACCAAGTAACAAGCCAAAGAGAAAGACAAAAAAATAAATAAATAAATAAATAAAGGCTCAACAAGTCCAGGTAACTTGTCCAAAGACACAAACCCAGCAAACAGAAAAGTCAGAATTCAAATCCAGATCTTCCTGCAAATTCACCATAACCATCTCCCTCTCAAACATTTTATGACTTCAAACATTTAAAGACAAAAGCATCAAGAGGAACTTACTTTTTTTTTAAAAAACCATTCAAGTTACAATACTTGTACAGACCAAAAAAAAAAAAAAGTCATGACGTTAATGGCTGCTACACAGCTGGAAATAAATTCCACCACTGCTCAAGTTGGCCGGGGGTGATTCCCCCCGCCCAGAGACTCCAGGAACTGAGCTGATGCAGAAACCAAAGGGTACAAAAGGTGACAGTCACCCATTCCAACTCAGCAATTGGCATGACCTCAGAATGACACTCGAAGGAATGAATTTCTTTGTTTCCAGAACAGCCCTGATACTTTTATTTTTCTGACAGTTCATGATCTCACGCAGCGTTAAAATGCTTCAACTGTGAGGAGTTCTGAGCCCTCGAGAGGAGGGGGGAGAGGGAGGCAGACCCCCAAACCGAATCACCTGCGAGCCAGACTGAAGGCCTTTGGTGCCGTGCTCTGGACCGGGGACCCCGGGTGGGCTGCACCCCCTCGCCCCCTCCCCGACCCCCACCTGACACAGGACCAGCGTCCGCACATCTGCACATCCCACCGACACAGCAGGGCCAGCAGAGCCGGGGAGGCCGACCTTGCAGGCGCCCAGGCCCCCTGGAAGGCCAACCGTGCAGTTTACACATCCTGGTTGTGACATTTCAGAAGGAAAACGCCGAAAGACGACTTTTCCGGGGTCGGCTGCCCGCCCCCAACCTAGGGTCACCTAAGGTTCTGCCGGGTGGCCTGGGGAGTCCACCGACGCCTCCAGCCGGCCCCCGCTCCTTGCAATTAATCAAGGATGCGATGACGAGCGCGGAAACATGTGCCCGGCTGACGTCATGGAACGGAAAGGGGTGGCGTCCTGCTGCGTCACGCCGACGTCACGCCGCGCACGAGGGAAGTTACCCGGGGAAAGCAACTCCTCCCGGGGGAGGGGGGGCAGCTTGCGTCCCCCTCCCCCCAAAGGAAACACCCAGATCGGCTGGGACCCCGAGGGCGCCCCACCTCGCTCTAGGGGAACACACGAGGGGGCGGCCGGGGGGCGGGCCCCGATCTGCCTCCGCGCTCGGTCGCTCCTAGAGGGCGGGAGCAAGCAGGGGCGAGTGGGCGCGGGCGAGCTGGCAGAAGGGGCAGCCTCGGGGCCGGGGGAGCAGGGGGGCGGGCGGGGGTCGTCCTGCGGGGAGCGGGGTGGTCTCTGGAGCAGGGCCCGGCTCTACAGGGAGGGGGAGGCCGGGCCCCGGCGCACTGCGGCCGCGACGCCGCTCGGGATGCAACCTCCCCGCACCAGCCCCAGTCCAGGTACCTGGAACTTAGTCCCGATCGGTAACCGGCGACTACGCGGGGCACGGGTTACCCGAGCGCGCCCCCGACCGACGCACCGCTCTGCGCGCGCGCCGCGGCCCGATGCGTGCGCGCCCCCGCCGGCCCGGCCCGACGTGCGCGCTCCCGGCCCGACGTGCGCGCTCCCGGGGCGCCGCGCCGGCTGGCGGGGCCGCCCCCGCGGTGCCTGACGGACGCTCGGCCGGTCGCGTCTCTCGGGGGGCCGCGCGCTGGGGGGCTCGGCGGGGCCCGTCTCGGGCGCGAGGGGCCGGCGCGGGCGACGGGGGCCTCGGGGGGAGCGGGGCTCGCCGCCGCCCGGTCCCGTCGGGCACTCCGCGGGCGCCCCGCCGCGGCTAGGCCCGCGCGGGTGTCGGCGTCCCGGAGGGCAGAGGGCAGAGGGCAGAGGGCAGAGGGCGGCCGCGGCGCTATGGCGGCGTCCGGGGATCCCTGCGGGCAGGGGCAGGAGGAGGTGGCGGCGGCGGCGGTGGTGGTGGTGGGCTCCTGCATGACCGACCTGGTCAGGTTAGTGGGGGGCTGCGGGAGGGGGGGGCGTGCGGGAAGGCGCCCGGGCGGGGGGTGGGGGGCGTCCCGGGACGTGCCCCCTCCCCCACCCCCGCGTGCAGCAGGGTGGTCTTGGGCGCCTGCAGGCGGGGCGCCGCGGGGAGCCCACCCGGACGGTGAGCGCCCCCCCCAGCCCCGAGGGCGCGTCCGGGTCGAATCCCTCGTACACGGCCTTTCCCCGCATCTTTCCATCCAGTGGTCCCCCAGAAAGGGGGTGGGGGTAGGAGAAGCACGCTAAGGGGAAAAGCGTGGTTTTGTGAGGAGGGAGGCGGGACGGACGGACGGACGGACGCGTCCTGAGCGCTGAAAAATGCTGTTCTGGTTGTAAAATTCGTATCTGGTCGGGGCTGGAGCAGCCGCACAGCGGGTTGGGGCGTTTGCCTTGCAAGCAGCCGACCCAGGTTCGATTCCCAGTATCCCATATGGTCCCCCGAGCACCGCCAGGAGTGATCCCTGAGTGCAGAGCCAGGAGTAACACCTGTGCATCGCCGGGTGTGACCCAAAAAGCAAAAAATATATATATATATCTGTTCATTGTAAATATATATTTGTTTTTAAATCCAAGAGCACCCCACTCTTCAGATCGCCTCTTTCAGATTTGTTGACTGGCTGTTCCGATGTCATGCTATTTTGTATTGCAAAGAAAAAAACAAAATGGAACAGGCCTACTGTAGTAATAGCTGCTCTGCTGCGCAGACCCCCGCCCTCTTCCAAAGACCGGGAAAGACATAATCATCGGTTGACCTTGAGACAGTTAAAAGAAGGCATCAAATCCCTGCACCGGAACCACCTGTGTTTTATGTAGCAAAGAGTTCGATGGTAATCACATAAGCAACGCAGCTCCCATCACTCACTGCATGTGAGCCGGGGGTTATTTAAGCTTCGAGGGGAGGTCAGAGTCTGCAAGCCTTCTTAAGTAGATGCAGTGCCTGCTAGAAGGGCCAGAGCGGAGTAGTAGCAGCCAGCAGCAAAGGACTTGACATGCCCTTAGTGCTCCACAATACTGAGTCCCCACCTTTCCAGCCACCACAAAGTGAGACGTGCTGATTTCACCGACTCTTCAGTTCAGTACACTTGGGGAAGAGGCTCTTAAATCCCTCTCTGTTGCAAGAGTCTTTCTAAAAGGGGGTGGAGATCCGTGAGCACCTCCAGGTGTGGCCCAAAAACAAAAGGAGTCGCTGGAAAAGGAGTTAGCAAGCTTAATAAAGGGTCAGATAATAACTTTGGGGGCTCTATAGGTATATGGTGGTCTAGAAAGGCACTTTTTCTTTAGAACCCTTTAGAAATACAAAAATTGCTTCATATCTTTGTGAGTTGCTTGGGTTTTTTTGGAGCGATGGTTTTGGTACTATCTCTCCCCCCCACCCCAAAAAAAAAACTTTTGATCTCCAAAGCCTTGCAAAAAAGCCTACAGGCCATAATTTGCTGACTACCGTCTAAAACGCGAGTGACTAGCCTGTGAGAAGTGATTCATGCTACTGGGGGTTACTTTCTGAAAAGAGTGACTTGGTATTTGTCAAGTTTAAATATGTTTCATTTAGTTCCATCGAAAATCAAGGCATAATCTTTGGCCAGTTGGTAAGGCACCTTTCTTGCATGTGGTCAGACTGGTTTGATTCTGAGCACCACTTTTGGATCCACCCAAAATAATCCCTGAGCACTGTCCAGGGTAGCCCAGACCCCCACCCCACCCCAAAGGGAATAAAAAGGGAACGAGCCAGAGGCTGGAGCGATAGCACAGCGGGTAGGGTGTTTGCCTTGCACGCAGCTGCCCCGGATTCAATTCCCAGCATCCCATATGGTCCCCAGAGCACCGCCAGGAGCAATTCCTGAGTGCATGAGCCAGGAGTAACCCCTGTGCATCGCCGGGTGTGACCCAAAAAGAAAAAAAAATAAAAGGAAACAAGCCAGATTGTGTCTTAAGTTTCTTCTTTTGAGAACCCATCCAACTCCATTTTTCCCATACTTTTACCAGTGAAACTCCGTTTTCTCACGTACCCCACCTGATTAAGATTGTCAAGGCTATAATCCAGTCACTTGATTGTTAAACTAAATTAGAACTTGCAGTGGAACTTGTCTCTGGGCCATTCAAGGTAATGACAGTACATTCCAACGCAAATATTCTCCAAACTTTGGGGAGGAGAAGATATCAGAGGCCCCTGTTAGCGTCTGTCCGGATTTTAAAAGTGTGTTTTAGAGCCAGAGGAATTTCTGTTTTATTCCAGCCCTTCGGTATGTAAACAAGTAAAGTAACTGAGGGCCAGAGTAAACACACTTTGATTCTAGGTCACCTAATTTCTCTTGCCATTTTCCCTCATGAAATACCCAGGTTTCTATCACTAACAGGAATCATTAGTAAAAATGCTATTCCTGTAGATGCCACTAATTCCCACAAGCTTACTACAAGCAGTTCATGGTCCTTTGATGACTTCTGACGAGCACAGTATAGGACTTACTTTAAACCCTGTATCGCTGATAAATAAGATTAATTTCCTTACAGTATAGCTCATGATTAGTTTCCTATTGGATCAGAGTCCCACAAACTTAATGACTTGGATTTCTGGAGCTCAGAAGTCACGCTAAGCTAAAATGTAGGTGTCAGCACGGCTGCATTTCTCTCTGAAGGCAGAAGGAGACAAGAAGCTTGGAAGAGGCAGTTAAGTAAGAATTGAGGCTCCCACATTACTTGTCTGTCTGGCCCGTTCCCTCTTCAGTCTGTCCAGTCCTCACACAGCACCGCAGCCCGTTCTCCTCCCTTCTTTCATAGTTTAAGAACTGTGGGACCCAGCTGCATAGTTCGGGATCATCCCCTTAGTACAAAGTTGCTCGACTTGACTCCCCCCATCTCGCCTCCCCCACCCCTTGCCACAGAACAGAACAAATTACAGGGACTAGGAAATAAACATTTAAGCAGGTGGTGATCAGAGTTAAAGTTGAGCACGAGTACGGCGCATAAGGCGTTTGTCTCGCACACAGTCAACCCGGGTTTGATCCTCGTCACCACACACGGTCCCCCCAAGCACAGCCACGTGTATCCCAAACAAAAAAAAATAGCAAACGGAGTAGCTGAGTCTGAAGTCTGTAGCTTGGTGCCTCCCAGTCCCTCTTCCACACTATGCAGAAGAGGAAACAGGTGAAATGAGTCGCCCGAAATCGTGAAGCCACTTAGTGGCCCAGTGAGAGCTGGGGGCCAGGATTCCTGACCTTGGCCTTGTCGATCTTCCCTTTCTCTACATTGCACCTGTCACCTGCGGTTTAAGAACTTAACCGTCTGTGCCCTCAGTTAATGTTCGCTTGTAAATTGATAAGGAGTCTATTAAAAATTTCATCATTCCTAGGTTTTAAGATAGAAGTAAAGTAGAGAATGGCTGCTCTCAGGCACGTGAGCGGCCTGGACTTGATCTCTGGCACTGCTCGGTCCCCAGGGCAACTGCTGCCCAGGCTCGGAGTCAGGAAACACACAAACAAGCACTGCGAGGGGTGGCCCCAAATCCAAAGAAAAGAAAGAAGTTTAAGTACTGAAGATCCTGCGTGTAACTGTAATTAACCTAAACACCCAGGCCCGGACTGTCAAAATCCCTTTCGAGACAGAACTAGTCTATATCTAAGCACTCTTGGACAGCACCCAAGGCCAAGTCATGTTCTATGTACCCTGCATGCCAAACTGCTAATTCAAGTCCGTGAGCCATTTTTTTCCCCGTTTTTAATGTTAGTCCACCATAAATAGTAAGCTCTGTGCAACTAAATGTTTTTAAAACCATTAGCTTATTTGACACGCAAACAAACATTACCCACCTGGCTTTAGCATTGATTTTCTTCTGGAACACCCATCTTTGAAGCTCCATATTGCAAAGATAAGTTTCCCCAAGAGTTAACTTGATATAAGTCAGATTTCCTTCAAGGACTTACCTCCGTGAAAGCCCAGCATTCATGAGCTTTTTTAAATGTTAGGTGAACCATTCGTCTGGGAATCATACTTTTACTCGTGAACTTTATTTCTCACAAAATGTACCACATATATTTCCGTTATTAACAAGACTTACTGATTTTTGCATGGTATGCAACTCCCTTCCCTAGGTGCAAAAAGGGAGAGAGCAATGAGAAACAGCCCCAAACCCTGCGTTAGTGTCTAGCGGGACAGACAGAGTCTGGACAGAAGGAAAAGGCACGCAGGATATTGGATAAATGCTCCAGAGGAAAAAGCAAAGCCTGAACGGGGACAGGAATGGTGATTTTAGATCCTTGGCCACAAAAAAGACTCACCAAGAGAATGATGTTAAGAAAATAGGGGAAAGGAAGGCAGTTGATGTTTAAGGACTTTGGGACATACCCCTAACGAGACATACCCTGAAGAGCAGGGTTTGGGCAGAGAGTGACATAATCTGACTTACATGGATTATTTGGGGGGCTGTAGGGAAGACCAGGTGGCCGAGGACAGAAGCAGGGAGAACAAATCAAAAACTGAGTTGGGAGATGATGGTGCCTACGGGGCAGCACAAGTGGATAGAAGTAAGCATATCCTTTTTTTTTTTTAGCATTCTTTTTTTTTTAATTTTGTGAATTTTTTTATAATTTACTTATTTATTGAATCACTGTGGGAAAAGTTACAAAGCTTTCAGGTTTAGGTCTCAGTCATGCAAATATCAAACACATTTCCCTTTACCAATACTTATTTTTTACCACGAAGAACCCCAATAAAACCCTACCCCCCACCCCTCCCAGTCCCTGTGAGGCAGATGAATTCTAGTTAGCATTCTATCTACTTTGACTAGATTCATTGTTTCAATAAAAGATGCACCATTATTATTTATTTAGAGTTTACCCCCCCACCCCCAAATCAGACATGCTGAAAAAGCGTTGTGAAATGATTTGCGTTCTACAGCTGGGTTCAAGAATTAAATGTTGTCATGCGGCTGCAATAGCGGCCGCGCGGTTTTGGATTTCTACTGTTTTACTTATTA